ACACTAATTTAGATATTTTAATGAAATTGGTATTATTGTACTATGTATAAGAGGCATTATTTAGTGTACTACCACTTTTTTAAAATACCCTCTGGTGGGCGAACGGAATTTCACATATTTATTTTTTTACTTTACTTTTTACTTTTTTTAATTTTTCACAGAAACTTCCAGCATTTGCGCTTGATGTCCTCTCCATAAAGGCTTGTTAATTTTTCAAAGAAACTTCCACAGGCTACTGCAATACTTTTTACAAAGCTTCTGGATTCCTCCTGCGTCGGTTTTTGCTGGGTCGAAATTGCTGATAGTTTTAGTGAAGCTCTGAAGAAGCCAACAGGATGATTGGCGAAACGTCAGCAATTTCGACTCAGCAAAAACCGATGCAAAGAGGAATCGAGAAGCTTTGTAAAAAGTATTGATGGTACTGATTTCTTTTAAAAGAAAAATTATTCTTAGAATCTCCAATTAAACAAATTTAATTTCTTGATTTTTTTCATCCAATTAAAAAACTCCCTGTACACCGCGACATCCTTTTTTCCATGGAATCAGAAACTAAAAATATTCTCCCATTGTTAATAGAAAATCAGATCTCATCTTAAATACAGTATAAGCAATTACACAGTAAAATAGTAAACTAAAATTTATTTTTCAGATTTTTCGATGGATTTAAGCGTTCGAAAAACTCAAGTAATTGAGGTTTTCATGACGTTTCTTGATTTTGACTGGCAACGTTAGATCCTCACTATCACTCACTGTAGCAAATCGACCGTCCAGTGTGATATACTTATATTACACATTGATTATATTATAATTTTTAGGAAATATGATTTTTTTTACATGGAGCAATATTTAAAACTTTTTATTCAGAAATACCTATCAATATTATTAAGCAGAGTATATACTATACAAAGTGTTTTTTTTTACTTGGTGTTAAAGTTGCCTAAAAAACTCACCTCAATGCAAAGAGGCACCGATTCTTTAGTTCTTTAGCGAATTTGAAAAATAGGGGAAATAATCGCTTTATTACTTGACTTTCATCGTGTGATGTTTATTTGAGATCTATGATAAGTTTAATTTAATTAATCTAAATCTTATCAATCATCATTATTATTATGACTTTAGTTTTCCTTGTGTTTGTGTTGCAACATAACTTGCATCAACAACATTTTGAAAATTAAATATCTAATCTGTGGTTTGAGGATAAGCATCAAATATCCTCTATCGACCAAAGCCATTTTAAATTGGCGCAGCATCCTATATAATGGCTAAAATACACATTAAGTGCTATACGAGTCACCATTTTCACCGAAAAAAACTCTCAGCCCTGATCGACTACCTCTATTACGATAAGGTTTATTTAAATAAAAAATTCCCATTTTATCCTTTTTAAATCGCATTACTTTTAAAAAGGTAAAGAAGTCAGTTCTTCTTTGATCGGTTTCAAATGGTCGAACCGTGTCTCTATCTAACTCGGATAAAGCAGGAGACGTAAAAATAAAATCTGTCAAATCCGGTACATAATCCTAAATTTTTTGAAAGCCGAGATGGAGGGATCAATTCTTTGGAGACACGCATTTAAATTTCTTTGTTGTTTGTGTTGTTCTGTTACAGATTTAATTTTTTTTAAATGGTGGTGGCTCAGGGCGTCCTATAAGCAATCGTATATGCGAAATAGGAGATTCTTTAGGTGAAAACATTACCATTTAAACTTATCTTACTCCAAAGGTTGATATCGACAGATGTCAAAGTTGCAATTCATTTTTGATTTTTTTAAATAATTCCTAAAATAATAGAGCGTTTTGCATATAGAGACTCGCTTATTGAAAGACTGCCTGATTTTAAATAATAAATCTCGAGTACGAAGTACTTCTTCATACACTAGCGACTTCGTATAATTTTTCTGACGATACTGCAATAAGGCAAATACCTGGCAAAATTTCGGTTCGGTTTCGGTGCAATCAATTGACTTTGAATTTTCATAAAACTCGATACTTGGCGCGCTGAAGGTTCGTAAAAATCTGGGAATAATTATTGACCGTCATCTCGAATGGGACTTTCAGATACAGAATGTTTGTAAACACATCAGGGGTACTATGCCGCGTATTAGATATCTGAGATATTTTCTAACCCTTGCACAACTTAAAAGCTTTTATATTGCACTTGTCCAGTCACACCTGTCTTACTGAATTCGCGCTTGGGTGCAATTTCTGAACGTTACTTAAACAACCTAGAGATACTACAAACATGGATTATTGATATAATAATAATAATAATAATAATAATAATAATAATAATAATAATAATAATAATTTATTTCCAACAACATTAATTGCCACATAACATTCCATTCCACATATCTAACAGGTTACAAAACAATGGACTATATATTGCACAAAATTATTTTTTGTTTTAAATATTATTACATTTAAAAATTATTACCTATAAGAGATACAAATGGAATGAGTTTTAAAGAACCTGTAATAATAATAGGCACATACTATACTATACGACTATAGCGTGGTTATACAATTCGTGCTAATTTTTATATTTTTGGTATGGTATGGTACATTTCTGGTTATTTTGATATATAAGGTTATTATTGTGTATTGAGTGTCTCGTGATATTTTGTGTTGATTAGGATTGGTTTTTTTTTGAGCAAATCTCCTGGCTGATTTTAGATACAATTGATTAATTTGTAATACTTGGGCATCTATACTAGAACAAAACTGGTTTTTATGCACCATCACCTTTAAGACATATTTTTGACTGACGCAGCTATACATTAATTAAGTAGGTCTGCTTTTTTAGCATTTATTCGAGATGTATTCAATATGCTCTTGTCATCTTAAATTTAATCTATTATGACTCCAAGATATTTGATTTTATTAGTTCTATTTATTTCCAGTTTTTCCATTTTTATTGTCAAATTTTGGTGAGCCACTGTGTCAAATGCTTTGCCCATGCATCTATAACATTTGTAGACATGCTCAGCCTAAAATTTACTGGTGTTCTGAAATAAGATTAGTCTTATCGTAATTTAATTCAAACGTTCCACTGAATTTAATTATGTTCCACTGAATTTAATTATGTTTTTAAAATATTTTTTTGTAGACATCCCCCAGTAATATAAGATAGTAATGCTGCTGCATATATATATATATATATATATATATATATATATATATATATATATATATATATATATATCTATATAATAATATATATATATATATATATATATATATATATATATATATATATATATATATATATATATATATATATATATATATATATATATATATATATATATATATATATATATATATATATATATATATATATATATATATATATATATATATATATATATATATATATATATATATATATATATATATATATATATATATATATATATATATATATATATATATATGCGGGCACGTACGAGTGACATGGACGTGCGGCCTCTGAAGATGCCAAGTGATATTTTGGCGAAACGTCAGGCGAATGATCCTACTCCAGGGTCAAACAACGAACGGATGAACACCCGGATTACCACCAATACACATAGTTCCATCCGTGAAGGACTAAAACAAAACATATATATATATATATATATATATATATATATATATATATATATATATATATATATATATATATATATATATATATATATATATATATATATATTCACGTATTCACGGATGGAAAAATGTGATGACACTATATTCCGGGATATCATCCGTTCGCTTGTGTAACTCCGACTGGAATTCTGCAGACGTTTCGCCAAAATCTCACTTGGCATCTTCAATGCTCGCGCTCCGAAAATAGTGTTCGAAGGTCAAAGCATTTATGACAAAACTCAATTTATTTGCTGAAAACTTTAATAATAAATTATTAAATCATTTCCCCTCATTGCAAGCACGGCGAGAATCATTGAAAAATACAGATTTTTTTAAATATAGTGCAATAACACAAGACCTGCATTCTGAATTCCAAAGAAGATTTCAAGATTTCAAAGCTATTGAAAAACATTTATCATTAATTAGCCAACCTTTCAATTTCGATGTGCAAGAAGCTCCTGTTGAAATTCAACTAGAACTAATTGACTTACAATCAAATAATTTACTAAAAGAAAATTTTCACTCAAACGAATTGAGTGCTTTCTATGGCGCTTTGAATAACGAACATTTTAAACATTTTTTGAACTATGTTCAAAAATACCTTGTTTTATTTGGTTCGACATATATTTGTGAAAGAACTTTTTCTTTAATGGTTTCCACGAAAAATAAATATCGATCACAAATTACTGACGAAAATCTACACTCGGTATTAAGGATTGCTACAAGTGATTTGGAACCCAATTTTGAAGAAATAATGTCAGATGAACATTCGAGATTTCACGTTTCGCATTAACTTTAAATATTTATTTTAACGTTTGATGTTTTTCTTTTCTTTTTTGAATTCTATTTACTATTATATTTACGAAATGCAATATAAATGTTAAATTGTAATAACTATGTGTCAATATAAAATAATTTGTATCGTTAAGACATAAATAAGTAACAAAATAAATTCTTTCATTGACTGGTTTATCTAATAGCTATTTATTTATAATAATATTTCTTGAAAAATTACGTGACATATTTTATTCAAATTGAAATGATACTTAGTGTTTTTGTCAAAAAAAAAATTGGGCAGGGAAAAACTCCATCCAAAACATCCGCTTGTGCAAAGCATACGCGGTATAGTCCTCCGGCCCGGGAGACATTTTGAAAATTTCATTTTGGCCCGCGCTTTAAAGTATTTGCCCACCCCTGCCGTAGAGTGAACACACAAATGCTATCTTTGTGCTTTGCGATACAGTGAACAGCGGTAAACTCCGATAAAATGAATTGTGACGCACATCGTGAAATACACAATTAGGGGATTCCCTCGGGGACTTGGAGATCTTGCGTGTTTCACGTTGTCGATTATTATTTGTGTGTATTTTACATGCTATCAGGTTCAGTGCGGAGTAGTACCTTTAAAAGTGTAGTTTTACACATCAGTTATGTCTCAAAAAAGGAAGTGTTTGAATTTAAAACAAAAAAGTGAACTGCTGGAATCCCCGAGTAAAGGTGAGAGTGAGTATGACTCTGCTTGCTAAAAAATATGGAATAGCCAAGTCAACCTTATGTGCCATAAACGAAAAGGACGCCGATACTAAAAAAATTATCTCAAACATTTAGAAAGAAAGAGAAAAATCAAAGACGTTAAAAGTGTGTAGCTATTCTAACATGTTAAGAGATTTATACAAACATTTTCTAAACTTGAGAGTAAGAAATATACCAGTGGGTGGGATGATGCTCCAGGAAAAGGCGAAGGTTTTACAAAAAGCAATTGATGTAAATTCTTCATTTAATGCTAGCAATGGTTGGATAAACAGGTGCAATGTTGCAAACATACATTTTAAGGCATGCAGTTTCAAATTTAGCTTTCGCCTGGAATATGTTAAAACCCATTGTTATAGAGAAATTTTGGCGAAATATTTTAAAAATGAACTTGGATGATGGAGAGGATAATACGATTATTCAATGATGAAGCATACCAGCATGCTAACCAGAGTGTTATCGACCTCTTACAAAATATTAATCCAAATTTTAGTAAGTCTACAAAAACGATTTCAAACCTCTATAACTTGAACTTGAAGGGACTGTGAAAAAAGTTCGAGTTATAGAGAGTTTGAGTTAAAGAAAAAAGGACACTTTACTACTTTAAATATGACTTTTTTTATTTAAAAAAAAACTAAACAACCGAACAGTGCTAATTATAAAACCTAAAGTACGGATAAAAAATAAATAAGTAAATGAGTTAATAAGCAGCTAGGCTGTACTTGCTTTTAAATGTTCATTTTCCAGCCTGTCATGTCATATGGTTGACAAGTAATTTTTTTCTGGGATACCATTCTCTAGTTTTTTAAAATCTCTAAAAAAGGTCGAAATTCAGAGAGATTGCAGTTACAGAGGTTCGACTGTATTGTATGTTTACGTTAATTTTGAATTTTGTATATTACAGGTTGAATGTGAAATAAACGACATTAACGAATGGAATGAAGATGAACCAGCAAACTTAAATCAGTTGGCGAATGAAATAACAATTGATTCTGATTCGGAAAAAGATGACAATCAAAATATTATGTCAAATACAGAAGACGAGCTTATTTCAACAAGCCCAGCTATGACTTTTTCCAATGGGCTGAAGGAAATGGTAATTTAGTAGAATATACCAGCTTCATTGTGTTGCATGATTCAAGACAAAAAATTGTAGAAATCAACCCAAAGAAAAAGTTTTAACAGCCTAATCCTGAAAAAATTATCGTCATTTTTCACGCATATTCCATAAAAATATTACATAAACATATTTTAAATATTTTTTTGTTTAATATTTTTTCCATAAACCTTAGTATGCATTTAAATATAATAGTACTTTTTACAGTTTATTACTTTTTGCATATATGTATTATTTCTTTGATTGTGTCCTTAATCTCAAACCCTGCAAATATAGGTTCACTAAATCGCGACTTCACTGTATCATTATTATTTCTTACTTAAGTAATTGACTATCTGTTTTATTAAAATACTTCAAAAAAATTGAAGTACGAATACGAAGTACGTAAACTCTGAGGTGTATTTTTAAAATCTTTATAAATGTTTCTTATCATTGTAGTTGTTTAACCCAGAAATACTATTTACAGATGCAGCTAACTTTTCCAGAAACACAATCAGAAATTTCCACAATAAAATTTGAGCCGATGAAAACCCCCACGAAGAATGTAACATCAGGAACAGTAAATGTTTGGGCTGGGATTGTTGGAAATTACTTATTCCTGCCAGAAAGTCTAAAAGGCCATAATTATCGTCGGTTTTTAGAAAATGATTTACCAATATTGCTAGAAAAAGTACCATATTTAATTAGAAACAGAACGTCAGAATGTGGTTCATGCATGACATCGCGCGCGCTCATTTCACTGTTGTAGAAAGAGAATATTTAAATCACACACCAAGGCTGGTTTATCACACTCCAGTTAACACTGTAGAAGAGCTGAAGGATAGTATAAGAGCTTGCTGCGATTTAATAAGAATCACTGGAGGTATACTTCAAAGAGCTGAAAAATGTATCCTTCAAGGTGGAGGACACTTTCAACAACTTATCTAGTCTCTATATTCAACTTTTTTTCAAAAATGTTGTTATTAATTTATTAACAGACAATTTTGTTAAAAATTATTAGTAGTAATTAGTAGTATTATTTTAAATAAGAATCGTAATTATTTATCTTGTTGTTAGTGTTGTATGTTATTTCATTATAACTGTAAAAGTAAAAAAGTAAAAGTTTTAACCACTGCAGTGGCGACCTAATTAGACAAAACATTATTTGTTCGTAAACAGTCAGTGGCGCGCCACTGATTTATTTAAAAGAAAATCATTTGCATTCATTTACGAGCAAATTCGATCTCCTAATTTTTTTTAGTCTGACGCACGGTTGTCACTTAAAAATAAATATTAATTTCTCTGCATGGTGGTGGAGCATTGCACGCGGCGGTTTAAAATCTGTTCGCTCCCGACAGAATCCCATGTATTCGTCCCAAAAAGTTTGATATCGGTCTCCACTGAGTGGATTTAGTGTTTTCAGTGATTTGTGAACGTTGTAAAGTGATAATCGTCGCCGATCCCTTCGTTTTTCCCCGTTCACGCCGGTATGGAGGCCGGATGGGCCCGGATGGTCCGGGGCGGAAGCGGGGGGTGTCGGTTTTTTTTTGGTATCGGTCAAATTTGTTTTTTGCTAGTTGAGCAAATATTGGTTATATGTCTTCTTTGTACGTGTTGGTCCATGACCAAAAGCGAAGAACCTCGACGGAAGTCGGCAATGGGCGAATGATCCTAGCAGTCGAGCCCAACATTTTTTGTGAAACGCATAATTGAATTGAATTGAATTTCTCTGCATGTATTCATATTAACGATATTGCTATGACCATGCAGAGAAGAGGTTTTTATTTTTTTAAGCGAAAACCGTATATTGGATTGAAAAAAATCAAGAAATTAGATTAAAATAAATGCCTGCCAAACTAGAAGTGTAAAAATCCGCCTCTGCTGTATTTTAGAAAAATGCGTATTTTAGAAAAATGCACACTACATTAAATAATGTCTCTTGATACATAGTACGTGTGTGCCAAATTTAATTAAAATATCTAAAGTGGTATTATAGACATTAGAAAAATATATTTTATTTTTGAAAATGGACTGGTCTCGATCCTCACTCACTCTTTAGAGCTGTACAGGACGTTGAAGAATTTGCCAGAATTGTCGGCAACATCCATTAAAATGATATCGCACCAGGAGAAGTGCAACGGGTTCCAAACCGTAAAAATCTAGTTATATCCAGTTTTCAACCTATTTAGTATTATTACTTATACGTCATTTTAATCATTAGGTTTGGTCAACTACCCAAAACTAATCAATTGTGGAAGACTAACCAGCGTTATAATTACTGAATTATTTAAGTAGAAAAATGTTGAACTATATCACTAACTAACCAAAACTAATTAAACCTGTATAATCAAGCAAGCAAGAGATACTAATAATAATAACAAGAGATAGTAATTTGGAAAAATAGAAAATAATTAATATTACTAAATATTGGTATCAGAAATAATGAATTAAGAGTTGTATTTGATAAATTAGATTTAATAAGTCATTATTAACAACCCTTAAAATGAAATGAATTTCATTTATCCTTTTTCGAAGAGAAATAGTTTTGTGCGGTTATGTCAGAAGAGTCCATCTGGTGGGAAAGTAAGCCACCACAAACGCGTCACTCATAACCTAGGAAACACCCATTTTAACGACTCTAAGTTTATCAAAATGTGTTCTGGAGATCTGGACATTTACTTCGAGCACTCAACACTTTGCTTGTAGAGATAGAGTAAACAGCATTAAATACAAAATATTTGAATTTTTTTCAGCTTTAACTATGTAACTATGGTTAACATTATAATTTTTTGTAGAAACCGACTTTTAAAATTCTAGATACTAAAAGCACTCCCTAGGAGCCATGTCAGAAACTCAAAAATAAATTATAGCATTTTATTTTGGCTAATTTACTTAATAAATTTTATTTTTCAAATTTCTTTGACTTGGGTACCCGATATATGCAGTTACATTATTATTAAAAAACTATGTTTTTGATGTATTATTTAAATATTTATTTCGTCCAAAAGATAAATGAAATTCAAGGGAAACCACTAGCTGTAAAAATAATCTCTCGTAAAAGTTTTGCCGCAGCTATTAATTTTTCTGAGATTTGCGGACTGTATTTAAGGAATGCGAATCCAAGGAAATTCAAGCACAAGAGAAATTCCGGCACCGACAAGAAAGCTAACTTTCCGTTAACGGTTTCTTATGGTTGGATCAAAGTGTTTTCACTGACCTTTTGTGGAATGTCAATTTCCGTTTCTCTAACTGCTTTTATGTTTGTTAAATTCCCGAGACCCCTCTCGCCTTTGTATACGGGGCGCTGGAAACGTACTTAGCGAATAATGATAATAATAATAATGTTTTTCAAAGAAACTTCCACAGCCTACTGTAATACTGTGTACAAATCTTTTGGATTCCTCCAGCGTCGGTTACTGGTAAATAGAAGTTGTTTGAGGGAGGCGGAGCTAAAGGAGGGGCATGAACATTTTCTCGTATGACTGATTGCCATTGGTGGAAGGTAAAGGCCTGAGTGGTGTTTAAGATTGTTTGGTTTAATTTGAACTCAAGCTTAATACTAAATAATGGGACATATTTATACTAAAAATTATATTCTAGGCCTCATTGGTGAAAAATAGCGTTCCAGATTAACTAACTGCAATAATAGTATTTTGGTAGTAGTAGGATAGATAGATATTAGTAAATTTGATAAGCGACTCTTTGGTCACTAGTTTGACGATTTTCAAAGTTGTATTTTTAGTGGCTTGCGCTAACGGAATAACAAAAATTACAAAAAATTGCCTTAATCATTTTGACATTACCATTCGTTAAGATACCGCGTTTTCTTATGTTTTTTGAAACACCTTGTATTAAGTCGCAATGCATAGAAAGTTTTTAAAAGTTTCGGTTGCTAGTTTAGGGCCGTCTGCTAATGGGATTATAGTTTTATAATTTTAATATAATTTTTTTGTATTAAATCTATCACTTCTGCGTTATTTAAACTTACGCATAATCTATCGCACCTAATCCCATTGCATTGCTGCTTACAAAAATCAAGCTCTATTACCTTTAGTTCACCCATCGAACAGAGGGTTAATTGTAATTACAAGTTTTATAAATAAATAAATAAATAACATAACAAAACCTAAAGTAATCACCCGAAACGTGACAAGTACAACTAAAAATGTTCATTGCTTGAAAGAGTGGACTTCTAACCAACAATTTTTTTAGAGAGTTACTAGGTGGAATACTGGAGATGTTCTGACTGTCGGGAAAGCACACGAAAACCGATCGGGAATAACACTTCAGAGTAAGAGATAATACATAATTTAAATAAACATTGAATTGATGCATAAGTTCACTATGATTAAAGTGTCTTTGTGGAAGGATGCCGTCACACTTAAAACCTAAAAATTTTAATAATTTCCTTTGAACTTTTTGAAAATAGGCTGCCATATGCACTTAGAGTCATATTTGAAAGGAATAAAAACCGCAAGTCAATACCATTTCGTTGTTGGAGATCTTAACATTGATTTGTTAGAGAGAATTGGCTACAAATTACTCTAATATTTTATCAGAGTTTAACTTTATTTCTACTATCAACAAAGTTACAAGACCACGATCTGGAGCATGTTTAGACCACATATTTATTAATAGCCCGTTTAACGGAAATCATAAAGACAACTATTTCTCGGGAATTCTGCAAACTTCCATTACAGACCATCATGGGATAACGTACGTACGTAATGTACCCTGTGAGCTAGGTGGTATAATACCAACCAGTAAAATTTAAAAAAATAAAAAACTGATATAAGCAAACTTAAAGATAATTTGCAAAATACAAAGTGGAACCTGTTTTAAAGCATCACCGATATAGAGGAGATATACAAATTTTAAAGGATAAAATTGCGGACTCTTCTTATTATATTGTATTTAAAAGCAAAGTAAAAAAAAGAAAACCATGGATAACAAACGGTTTAATTAAATCAGTAAAGGAAAAAAATAACCTATATAAAAAATGAAGGCACAACCTATGAATATTGAGCTAAATGACAGATTTATAAATTATCGAGGCATTCCTAATAAATCAATAAAAAACGCCAAAGCTAATTATTATAAAGAACAAGTACAAAGGAATGATATGTGCCCAAAAAACCTATTGAAACTTGTTAAATCTATAAGTAGCAAATCAAATACAAGCATCCCCAGTACTCAGGTAAATAATGCAAATCCACAAATCACCGACAAAGAGACAATAGCAAACGAATTTAACAAATTCTTTTCAGGTATCGGGAAAGAAATAGCAGGAAAAATTAAAGAACCGCAAAGTCATAAAGCTACAAGACATAAACCAACAAAATACTTTGTTCTACATAATACCACTACAAATGAAGTACAGGAAATAATTAAAGAGCTCAAGTCAGGAAAGGCCCCTGGGATTGATAGAATAAAACCAGACATTATTAAACATATCATTGAAGAAATAGTATTACTATTAGCTAATCTGATTATTCATATTTTTATAGTTGGTATTTGTCCATCTCACTTTAAACTTTCTGTTGTGGCTCCAATATTTAAAAACGGCAACAACAAGAGATGCCAAACTCAGTCCAATTTCCCTAATACTTACAGTCGCGAAAGTTTTTGAAAAAGTATTGAAACTAAAATTAACAAAATTCTTAGACAAATTTAAAATAATTTCTGAGAAACAATATGGCTTTCGAAAAAATACTAGCACACAAGATATAACATCAAAAATTTAGGAGAGTCTGGACAAACGTAAACCTCCTTTATGAATATTCCTAGATCTCGCAAAGGTATTTAACACCGTTAACCACGCACAGATGTTTGAGGCTTTGGAAGATATAGGCGTAAAAAATATATCTCTTGATCTTTTTAAAAGTTACTTAACTGGCAGAAAACAACACGTCTTGATTGAAGATGAACTAAGCACTCCAGAGTCTGTTACATCTGGTGTCCCGCAAGGGAGAGTTTTGGGCCCAGTCTTAT